AGAAGCTGGATCTGACAAAGAGGTCGTCTGTGTCTGGCGTGGGGCATGGAGCCGCCGTTTGCGATGAGTCGACGCACCGTAAGATTGCATGCAAGGAAAGGGGCGACTCCGCGGGGGCACCCGCCATTGCCAGGTTAGACACCTACTCGGCCAATGTGGCAGAGGGATCTGGCAATAGTCTCCATGCAGTCGTGGGGTTGAGGGGCATGTCAAGCATGCGCGCTATCTTAAGCCTTGAACAGGGACATGAGAAGATGATCGTCCCAGGCGCAGACATGCACAGGCTCCTCCTTGGTAAAGGCGCCGGGGTGCTTGACCTGATGAAGACGCCATCAGGGCGCTTGGCGATAAAGGTCGACGAGCATGGGGTTGCAACTGAGGACAATGGCTCGACGGCGTTTACTGTCGCAGCCAACCCTGTGTGCGAGGAGGCGCCCGTGCTCGTCGAGGAGGTCGCAGATGTGGATCCGATGGCGGGGCAACCTGCGTCTAGCAATGCGGGGGCACCCGCCACTGACGACGCCCGCGCGTATATGATGTCCCAGGACGCAATGGGCATCAGTTTCCCCATCAACGAGGAGACGTTTTCCTACGCGATCCAGTCTATGGCGAGCAACGCCCGCAAGACCTGGCATCGCAGAAATACGACGTGTGGGAACGCCCCCGCGCCTGCCGATCAGGCCTGCGCCTAGCAGAACTTTCAGGCGAAGGTCTACCAGGCTACCTATGGGGAGGGAAGCAAGCGGGTGCCGCCCGACAAAACTGCGGGGGCACTTGCTGCAGTGAGCGACAATGCCGTGAAGTATGACATCTTTATCTCGAGCAGTGGTTCAGGGGCCCGCGGCACGGGCGCCTGGGCGATCCCATCGCTTGAAAATGAGTGACGGGGGCAGGCGCGTGCCACGGCCACTCGCGCTTGCCCGGACAGGCCGAACGCTGCGGTGCTGTCTTCAGGCGCGGGGGCATCTGCATGCTTTTCCCGGGCGCCGGCTGTGCGCGCCGGGGGCGGCGGCGGACCCGGCCGTGCGGCTGCCGCAGAAAATGAACGTTCATCTCGTTATTATCATTATCGTCCATTGTTTTTGAAGATATACGAACTGCTTGCGCTGAAATCCGAGCTCGAGGATGCATGCGTGATCGTAGTACTCACACAGAGGTTATGACTTCTACTGGTGCACAGCACTTGGGTGGTGTACTATAAGGGGATTAGCAGCTACTGTGGGTGGCAGCGCCCGCTGGCCGGCACGTGCGATTGCCTGGAAGCTGGGTGGGGCTTATGAAAGGCAGTGCTTGCTAGGCCCATAGGGCCTCCAGAAAGGCCAAAGTACATCCCAAAGTAGGTTTCGGAATAGGAATAGAAGTACCCCCCGAGCCTAACAAGCAGGTTCCAAAGTACCCCCCAAAGTACCTCCCAAAGTACAAAAAGTAGGCTCCGACGGGTTGTTGGCTTGTAACAAGTAGTCGATTCAGAGCTCGTTCGCTAGTGGCGCGTACTTCGAAAACTCCTCGCCTCGCTTTTCATTGTATGGCCTCTCTTTTATGTTGTCTCCTCCACCCCCAGGAAGTCCACGCAATACGCACATGAACAACTAAATGACGAAGGGCATTCAACACTAAAAAAACATGCAACTCTCTCTCTCTCTCTCTCTCTCTCTCTCTCTCCAAGAAAAAACCCAAACTCGGCGGATCGCACAGCATAAGATGTATTATGTAGCTGACCACCGCATAGCTCACACCACACATGTGGCACCGCGTTGCTTGCACCACGTAGATTGCTCAACATAGGTTGCACCACAAAATTGGCACCATATAGGTTGCTTCCCAAAGAAAGCACTACATAGCGTGCACCACATAGCTTACGCCACACAGCTTGCACCACATATATCGTGCTACATAGCTTGAGGCACCGCGCATATTGCCCCCCACCACCACATCCTCCCACCCTAGCCATTTTGGCTGTCAGCCTCCCCCCCGCCATGAGCGGGGGCGGGGCAGGGTGGGCCCCCGTCGCGGAGGCCGCGGCCGAGGCCGAGGGGCTCGCCGCGGGCTGGAGCGCGGTGGCGGCCGATGGCGCCCTCGCCGACCTCGGCCCCGCCGCCGGCTGGGGCGCGGTGGCGGCCGACGCCGCCGCGGCGGCGGAGAGCCCCGTGGAGGGCCTCGAGGCGTGGGGAAAGGTAGTGGGAGAACTTCTCGTAGGCAATGGCCTTCTCCGCCGCCGACGGGCTCGGCAATCGCGTCGACGTCCACGGCGACGGCCTGACGGCTGCGGCCGTCGCGCCGCTGGGCGCCTCCGCTGCCAGGCGGAAGGCCCAGGGTCCGAGAACAGGATGTGGAGGAAGGATGGAGGACACAATGAATGAGTAGGATGTGGAGGAAGGGTGGAGGACACAGGATGTGAGGAAGGATGTGGAGGAAGGATGGATGACACAATGAATGAGTACGCGTAGACGTGAGGAGGAGGAGCACGAACGATGCGAGAGGATGAGGGCATACGGGAAGGGAAGGGCAGGATGGATGTGTTGTTCGCGGCTTCGCAGGCTATGTGGCAGCCGCTGGGGCCTCTTCGCAAGAGGTTGCGAGAGTGCCTGCTGGCTGCTGGCGTCGCTGCTGCAGCGCCGCCACGGCCAGCTGTCGCCGCGGCGCTCGAGGCCGCAGAGATGGCGGAGTTCGACGACGAGGGCTTCGAGCTGTTCGGCAGCGTGACGGACGACGAGTTAGCAGCCCCCGTCGACGGCGACGGCGGCGACCTGGCCCGCATCGACGAGCCCGACGGGATCCTCGGGCCTCTCGCCGCTGCTCCGCCAGCTCCGACGCTGGACGAGCTCAGGCAGGAGATCGCACAGATGGTGGAACAGGTCAGCACGCTCGCCAAGGCCAACAGCGACGCCAAGGCAGAGTTCCAGAGCAGAAAGCAGGTCGGCGTGCTGGAGTATTTCCTATCGGGCAAGAGCAAGACCTTGCCGTTCCACGAGGAGTGCAGCAAGTTGTGCGTGGACCGACGTGGCGCCGACAGCGTGCTGAAGGCGACGGCTGCTGCTTGCACGCTGTTGCAGAACAGGGACGTTTCCAACATGGCTCGCCAGCTGGTGGACTCCATCGTCGCCCGCGGAGGCCGAGCATTGAGTTGGACCGAGAGCGTGAGGTACGACGAGACGCCGATGCACATGCGACTCACGGACATCGAGAAGCAGGCTCCACCAGTGACGGACGTGGTGCTGCCAATGACGGGCGCGCCAGACAACGGACAGGTGAAGTTGGTGCCAATCTCCAGCAGTTGTTCGAGCGCGCACGTCGCCAATATTTTGAACACACAGCGCCTCTACTCGATGCTGTTCCACCTCCCCGACGTCGGGTACTTCGCCGTGCGCGTGCCGCTCGAGGTGCCCGTCCAGTCGATGGCCAGGACCACGGGCGAGGTGATCTACGATGCGCTCGAGGCCAGCCAGCCGCCGATGCACGAAGTGCCGCAGCGATTCGACCGACGACAGCGGCTGGTCTGCACTGACGGCGCAGGCGGGATCACGAGGATGGAGCGCAACCTGGACCGCGAGAAGGGGGACCAGTGCAACACGATGAAGATCAAGTGCGAGGTGCACATGATTCACAAGTGGCACAAGTGCGCATTCTACCACGTGAAGGCCGACACCACCTGCATGGTTCACGTTGCGAAGGCGCTGCGCTGGCATGACGGCATGAGGTCATTCAGGGCTGCGCTCAGGCAGGAACTCCATGCGTCTCTGGACTACTACGCGGACATGGCGCCGTCGCCAGTGGACACCGCCTACAGCAGCAAGTGCCTGGACCTCCTTTCTGGAGGAGACGTCTGCCGGGCAGACTCTGCCCATCGGCGACTTCGGCGCTGCATCATCCTCTCCTTGGCGAACGGGGACTGGACCAAGAGGCATCGGCAACGCAAGCTCATGTCGCGCCCGCCTCTCGAGCCGCCCATCCCCCGAGCTGAAAAACATGCGAGTGTTTTTTTTTCTAGGCTGTAGCCACCGTCCAGGCAGTTTTTTGGAGGTGGTGCAAGTTGTCTCGTTTGATGGGTTGCGGGCGCTGCATCATCCTCTCCTTGGCGAACGGGGACTGGACCAAGAGGCATCGGCAACGCAAGCTCATGTCGCGCCCGCCTCTCGAGCCGCCCATCCCCCGAGCTGAAAAACATGCGAGTGTTTTTTTTTCTAGGCTGTAGCCACCGTCCAGGCAGTTTTTTGGAGGTGGTGCAAGTTGTCTCGTTTGATGGGTTGCGGCCCGATCGTGGCCTCGGGCGTTCGGGAGGGGGCTGGGGCACTGGACCTAGGTAGCTGAGGAGAGCGAGCGGGCGCGCCATGAGCTTCATTCCAGGGGGTGCGTGCAACACTACTGCGACGGGTGCTGCATGTCTCGCGCCGACTGCATTTCGAAGCTCACGACACTCTTCGTGGCTGCAGTCGCCGCGACCGACCCGAAGGTGTGGCCGTCTGCCAGGTGGACGGGGTTCGACCACAACGTCGACTGGATGGGCGTCTTGGAGTCGTGCCACGGCCTGCTCAGCCGCGTCTTCGTGCGGTGGTCTGGCGTCAAGGACGTGGGCTGTGGGGGCAGCATCGTTGCCAAAATCGTGCCAATGGGATGTCAGCCCTCATCCAGTTGAGCCCCGTGCCCCCCTCCCCCCAACAAGTAATGCCCCGACGGTGGCGGGGGGTATAAGGGAAGCGGGAGGTGGGTGGGAGGGTAGGTCCACGTCGGGTTGCAGGAGCTGGAGGGGGAGGGCAGTGGTGAGGGGGTACAGTAACAATGACGACGATGAGCACGACGATGAAGAATGGGCCAGCGGGACAAATCAGTTGGCCCCGAACCCCTGCCATCAAACCTTAGATTTCGGACTGCTCACCCCTCCTACTCCAAGCCACGCCCGCCCCCACCCCCGCCCAGTCCGCGGCCACTCGGGAGCCCCTGTGGGGCTCAAGCTCGGGGGGTCCCTGGCATGTTTTTGGCAACCCCCCCCCGTCGACTGAAAGGTTGAAGCGTTCAGGGTCGGCGAGTCTCTCGCCGACGCGCTGCGCCTGGAGAGAGGCCCAGGCGGCAGCAGCTCTGGCCTGCGTGGGGCTGACGGCGCAGGAGCTCCAGACGGTGCGCGGCCGCCCGAGAGCCACTTCGGCGGTGACGGCCATCAGAAGAGCACCGAGGACGAGCGCAGGAAGGAGGACTCGATCCATCGATGGTGGGGCGCCAGATGGTTACACCAGGGCGACGTCGGCGCGCGGCTCATGGTGATCAGGGTGGTCTTGAGGCCGCTCGTGCAGATGATGTCCAGCTACCTCGGCCAGGCAGGCATCAAGCACGACTGCGAGATGGAGTATCGCAAGCTCCAGGCGGCGGCGGGCAGCGGGCCCGATGCCACCAACAAGCTGTTTCCGATGGTTGCCGCGTGCAGGCGCGTCTTCGAAGGTGAGTTCCGCCAGTACCTGAAGGGCGCCATCTTGACTCCATCGCCATGGGTCACCATCGTGCCTGGGCTCAGGACCCACGCCCTCCGCACCACGGCGTTCTTGATGTTGAGCGATATCGGCTGCCTCTGCCACGAGATGTCAGTGCTCCACACCATGTATCCCTTCAAGATGTTCAGGCTGCTGGACGGGGACAGCGCGGCCGACATCGAGAGCGACTGCGAGGACATGAAGGACGGCTGGAGCAAGGAGCTGATCGAGAAGTACGCGAAGACCGAGCAGGGTTTGCTGCACCCAGACCTCATCGCGGAGCTGACGCACGTCGCCGCCAACGTCCAGCGCGAGACCTGCAGCATCGAGTCCAGCCACGCTTCCATCCGAAGGAGCCTCGCCGCGCTGAGCGTGCAGACCCACCCAATGCACATTAGGCGCTTGTCTGCTTTGAGGACATGCCAGCGGTTTCGGACGCGAGTGCACCGACTTCGCAGCGGGCCTGGACGTTGCGCGATGAAGGGCATGGGGGCGGCGCAGGTCGACAGGAAGCCTCCAGTCAAGAAGCGGTTCCTCGGCTTCGGGGGCGCTTGGCGGGCGTTTGTTCGGCAGCAGTCGCTGGGCAAGAAGGGCTCGCCCGACTTCGCCGAGCTCGCGAAGGCGTACGCCGTGCTGTCTGCCGCAGAGAAGAACCAGCTCAGGCAGATGGGGAAAGCAGCCACCCGAGCAGCGCGGGCTGGCAACAAGACCCCGTTCGGAGGGAGCTCGCGCTCACTAGAGGCGCGGGCGAGGAAGGCTGCTTTGGCACGTCAGGTCAACGAGCTGCACGAACGCAAGCTCGCTGCGCTGCTGGGCTCGTCGGGTGGAGTTCAGGGGGATATCGCAGTTGCCACCTACGACGGCATCATCAGCATCGCCTCGTCGAACCCCAAGCACCTCGCCGACATGACAGAATTGCGACAACTTGAGCGTGCGGAGCGGGCCTGGCGCCAATCCGACCAGATCGTGATGCACGACGCTGTTAGCAAGTGGTGCTCGGAGACGGGCGTGGAAGCGAGGGCTGCTTGCTTGTTCCACGAGTCGGCCATCAGCAACAGGCTCGACGAGTTCCTCCCCATCGTTCCCCCGTGCCAAGGTTTTCAGCTCTTCGAGTGGGAGCCCGTGGGCGTCTTGGATCGGGTGAAGAGCGCGCTCTCGGTGCATCGCCGCTTCATCGCTGACACCTTCGCTGCCTTGGCGAAGTTCTGGGATGACTTCCACGGCACGATCGACCACCATCCGCGCCCCGAGTGGGACGAGAACGACTGCGCGGACATCCCAGCTTGCATGCGCGCGGGCATGTGCGTATGCACGGGCGCGGGCTTGGAGGTCGGCCAGTTCGTGGAGAAGTTCGACGCTGCTGTGAAGAAGGCATGCCCAGTCGGGCGTATCAGGACAGAACACTTGGCCCACGGCTACATCGTGGCATACGTCTTCGCGCAGCGCCAGCCAGCCGACGACGAGAAGGAGATCAATATCGCAACGGACGGCATCGTCGAAGGACTGCCCATCGTCGACGGCAAGTGGCTGCACATCGGCCACCACAATTTGTCGCCTTGGCGGTCGTGCTTTCAACTCCTGAACGGCCCGACGGGCCCGATGCATCCCAACATCGAGATGACCAACTGTCATTTGGAGGGCACGGCCGAGTTCGCTACGCCGTGGCAGGCGTTCAAGGACTTCAACAGGAACCTTCGGTGGGCTGTGTGCGTTTACAGCGTGGACATGAAGAAGAGCCCTCTCGGGACGTTCGTTCCAGACTGCATCGACGTCCACTTGACCGAAGCGATTGAGAAGGAAGGCGTCCCGACGTGCAGGGTCATTTGGAAACCGAGGTGGGCGATGTGGAGGAGGAAGCCGAACAAGGTTGACAAGATGGACGTGCACATCAAATCTGGATGGCACGGCCTCGCTTCGATCAAGGACGGTGAGCTGGGCAGCGACAAGGACGAGGGCTCCGACAACGACGACGGACCGCTCGAACCTGGAGGCGAACCACATGGAGGCGACGCAGTTGTCTGCTCTGGTGGCGGTGAAGCAGGTGGCGCCGACGTGGGCGGCGAGGACAACGATGACGGTGAGCCAGGGCCACCACTGGGCCGAGCATAATGGCATTGCCCCGCAGGCGCACCCCCCTCCCATAGCTTGCATGTTTTAGTATCCTCCATGGGCCCTTGCAGGGCCCCTCGGTGTACGTCCAGCCTCTTGGGCGCGCTGGGTTCCGGCTCGCCCTGGTGCCTGCGGGTGCCCCCTAAGCTTTCGCAAATCTAAATGCGTCTGCGGGGTGGTGCCATTCTGCCAGCCTTGTCGGCGACCTTGGCTTCGCAGGTGACGTGGTAGACGCGCACGGTGAGCCCGTGCTGGCGAAGGTCGTGGAAGCGGGCGTGGAGCCAGCAGGTGAACCTTCCTCATCTTCGAGTTCGTCTTCAGACGCCATAGTGACACCGCAGACCTCCGCGGCATCATTGATTCGGACAGGTCGAGCGAGTCAGGTGACGACCTTCCTGGCGGCGGAGGCGGAGGCGGAGGCCAACCTTCTGCGTCTTCTGGGGCTGCTGCGCCACCACCGCCCCCGCCGCTCCCGCCGCCTGCTGGCGGTGCGCCAGAGCCAGCTGCGCACTTCATCGAGGTGGAGGGCGGCAGGATCGTCTACAACGCGAAGAAGCTGGACTTGATCGCTGAGTGCAGGGACGCCTCGCACGTGAAGTGCAGGAAGCACAGGACAATCAAACATGGACCCAGGCCACAGCAGGGGCGACCCATCGGCTACCTGGTCGCGTGGCTGCGGAAGCACGCGGAGTACGGGTCCCAGCTGACGCACGGGTCGTGCAATTGGATTTCCAAGGAGGATCGTGTGGCTGCTCGGGCAGCCTTTGCGGGCATGGGCCCCCGTGCTCAGGCGCTGCTGGCTATCGAGAGGCCGCGGCGGCCAGGAGAAGCCGCGGAGCCCGACGTTTGCCCTTGAACTGTTTTTTACTTTCATGCTGGACAGTCAGCACGCCGTGTACTTGTCCTCGCCGTCTCAGCGAGGCACTGCGCCCTGTGGGCAATCATGGCCAGCCATGCGCATGGTCGAAGTACTTGATACTGTAAGTGTGTGAAAAAATATTGGCGCTTCGCGCCCTTATGCCAGCCCATCCGACAAAGGTGCCGATGCAAGTTGCATTGGTGAGGGAGCGTAGTGTAGCAATGCATAGTGTAGCAGTGTAGCATAGACTTCAGGAGGCTCTTTGGAATCATGTTCTAGGTGGCTTGGGGCGCCGCCTGTGCTCTCTTGGAGCCCTCTTCGAGCCCTCCCAAAGCCTCTTAAGGCCATCTCGGGGCTCGGGGGCTCAGGCGCCTTCTCGGGTGAACCGTAGATGCCATCGGTCAAAGCAGCAGGCAAAACATGTCCACCCCCCCTCCCGATTCCCCCACCCGCCGCCTGGGCCAGACCAACTTGCCGCCTGTTGCAATCTCGAGGCACGCTTGGGGCGCCCTGGGGTGATCTAGAAGCCGCCTTAGGCCACCCTGGTGTGTTTGCAAAGCTCGCTTGGGACATCTTGGAACGGCAGCGGGGCTTCAGACGCCGATCGGACACGCAATCGGCGACGCTACACAGCATCGCGCCGTTGCCATGCAGCTGTGAAGGGATGTCGGCCTGCCGATTGCGCCCCTGGAGGGGAGAGGGGCGTGACAATTTGGGGTCATTTTCTTGGTGGGGATGTGCGGTCTGGGAGCGCACTGGAAGCACGTTACGGGCGATCTGGGGCAATCGGTGCTACAGCGTACCATCATGGGGTCCAACCTGGGCGATCAAGGGCCGTATCGGGGCCACCTTGTGTCACTATGAAACATTCGGGCCCTCCGTGAAACTGTTCGTTCAGACCCAAGGGGGGGGGGCAATGACATTCACCCGACGGGGGGCGGAGGTTGTACGAAATGATCCGCTAAACTGCTCTCACCCTAAGGGCCTCCTGGGGTTGCCAACATTGCCATTCTGGGGGGCGGTCCTCCAGACATCGCCAAATATTGTCTCGCCCTGGCCCCTCCCCACTAACGCAGTCGCCACCACGACATCGCTCGTCGTCGTCGCCCCCGTCCTCGTGCGCACCGTACCTACTCACAGAGCGCACGAGGCGTAAACAGATGCACAAACGATTACCGCTCCCAAACAAATACTTGCACTTTGGGGTCCTGACTCGCGTTAACCCTCTCGGGGCCCTCACCGCAAAATCGCCACCGTGCCGTCCGTCGCCGCCCGCGCCGCCTGTCGTCGTCGCCGTCGCCGTCGCCGTCGCCGCCGTCCCTGCCAATCGCCACCCGCGTTGCCCGTCGCAGCCCGTCGCCGTCGCCACCCGTCGCCGCAATCTCCGCCAGTCGCCGCCCTTGCCGCTCGTCGCCGCCCGTCGCCACCTGTCGCCACTGCCTCGGGCACAATGCCGCAAAATCGCCGTGCCGCCCATCGCCGACCGTCGGCGCCCGTCGCCACCCGCCGCCCGTCGCCGCCATCCCCGCCCGTCGCCGCCCGTGCAGCCAGTTGCCGCTCGCCGCCGCCCGTCGCCGTAGCCGACCGTCGCCGCCATCGCCGCCCGTCGCCGCCCGCGCCGCCCGTCGCCGCCAATCGCCGCCCGCCGCCGTCGCCGCATCGCATATATTGCACCACGCGTAGATTGCATTACTTAGGTTGCATCGCATACGTTGGCCGCGTAGATGGCACAGCATAAGCTGCATTCCATGGGTTGCACCGCATACGTTGCACCACATAGCTTGCACCGCATACGGTGCACCCCAGAGGTTGCACCGCACACATTGCACCACACATGGATTGCGTTCCATTTGTTGCATCGCATACATTGCAACACATCGGTTGCACCGCATTGCCTTCCCCACAGAGGCTGCGCCGCATACACTGCACCACATAGGTTGCACCGAATATACTGCATTACCTAGGTTGCATCGCATACCTTGCACCACGCCTAGATTGCATTACATAGGTTGCACCGCAGGCGCTGGTCACATAGGTGACACAGCATAGACTGCAGCACATAGGCTGCATCGCATACATTGCACCCCCTCCATTGCACCGCATTGGGTGCACACTATAGGTTGCATCGCATACATTGCCTACATTGCACCGCATATGTTGCATTTCCTAGGTTGCACCGCGTGCCTTGCACCACGTGTAGCGCGCCGCATAGTTTGCAATAACCCACTAGTTTGGGGCCACGCTGGCTAACCTATAGTGGGTTGGCTCGTCGCATAGGCTCAAACTTGCGCGCGTTTCGCGCGTTGGCGCCTGGCGGCTTGGACATGGCGCAGCGCGTGCAACAGGTGCTCGGCGCAGGCGCCCGCCAGGGCGCGCTTTGCCCCAGTGGCCGCAATACTGGGCAGACGCGCCACGCTGGCATGTGACATGTAGCTTCGCCCGCGCTCGAGCAGCCGCGCGCGGCGTCGTCCGCGAGCAGTTGCCGCGCAGCGCTGGGCCCCGCGTTCTCGGGGATCGCGCGCCTGGCCGCGCATATTCGCGCGGGGCAGTTGTCATGCGAGGCGCGCGTTCGCATGCCGAGCGTCGCTTGTCGGGGCGCGCGGGGCCAGCTTGCCCGACGCGGCGTCGCGCCGCGGAGTGCGGGCGCGAGCTCGGCGCGCGGCGCTGCAGACCTGCCCTTGCGGGTCGCTGGCGGCGCGGCGCAAGCGTCGCGAGGGGCGCGCGGCGCGCGGTCGCGATGATCCCGCGCGGCGCGCTTTCGCGCGCGGCGAAGAAGGCGGCACTGCCCCCAGCCAGGGGTCTGGGCGAGGATGGCGGCCCGCCTGCACCGCCGCAGCCCGTTGGTCGGCCCGACGGCCGCACGCCGCCTCTGGCCCTCGGGCCGTTTCTCCTTCATCCGTTTCCCTTAGCCAGCTGTCGGCGCACGGAGCGCACCAACGCGGGTGCTGCGGCGGGGCGAGGGACAGCGGCGCGCGCGTGCGCGTTCGCTTCTTATACGCATTCTCCTGGCGCGTCGCAACAGATCTTGCCGACGCCGCGCCTGGGGGCCTGGCGGCTCGCGCGGGCGGCGCCGCGCGGGCTGGCTGTTTGTTTGAGATGGGGTGCGGGGGGTGGGCCGTTGGGCGCGGGAGCTGCGCGGTGGCGGCGGCGCCTGAGCGGCGATTGTGGCGCGTTGCCCGCGCGGGCGAACGCCCGCGGGCTCGGCCGCGGAAGCGGCGACGTGTGCTTGGCCCCGTGGGCGGCCCCATGAGCGGGCCCGCAGCGCGCGGGGCGTTGTGTGCAGGCCCCCACGGGTGCTTCGCCTTGCGCAGGACCGATCGGGCGCGCCCCCGCGCGATGGGCGCAGCGGCATGGGCCCTGCGCGGCGGGCTGCGCGAACCTCTAGGGGCGAAATGCCGCGGGCGGGTCCCGCGCTGCGGGTTGGCGCGCGGGCGGCCCGCTTTGGGTGTGAGCTTTCGGGCGGGGCTCGCGCGCTGCGGTATGCGGGCGTAGTTCTGTCGCGGGGCGGCGTCTTCGGCATGGCCTCGTGGGCGAGGCCGCGCGCGGGGGCCCGCGCGTTCGGCTTCGCTGCGGGAATCCACGCGTTGGGTGTCGCAATCGGGTTTGCGTCAGAAGGGGGGGGGGGGGGGTCGCGGTTGCGTCCTGCGCGGGCGCCGCCGAACAACTGCCCGCCGATGTAGACTCATTTGCAAGCGGCGGGCTAGCGCGCGTCAGCGGGCGCGTCGCCCGCCGTCTCGCTGCGGCGCGGGCGGCGGGTAGATGGCTCCAGCGAGCCGAGCGGAAGGATGCGCCGCAGCCGCCGTCGCGCTGCGTCGTGGAGGCGCGACTGCGGCGTTGCCGCGGCGCGGCAACGCGGCGACTCAAGATGGCGCTACAGCTGATGGCGCAGCCCGAGGCGCATCGCGCGCGGCCGCAACGGCGCAACGCGTCGGCGGAACGCGCGCCGCGCGCCAGCGGGGCAACGCAGCGCCCGCGCCAACTGAGTGGCGTCAGTGGTGTAGCCAACGCTGGCCGCTCAGGCGCCCCAGAGCATCTGCGCGTCTGAAGCTTTGCATCATACCATAATTCCGTCAATGGGTGGGTTTCGGGGTCGGTCGCGGCGCAGCGGCGCGCGGGGCGAGCGCCCTGGCTGCACAACGTCCGCGGGTCGGTTGCACGTCTGGCGCGCCAACCGCGGCGGTCCCCCCCCCCCCACCCCCCGCACACACACACACACACACACCGCCACCACCACCACCCGCGCAAGGGCGCTGGCGGGGCGATGTCATTCGCGCCGCGGCGGGGGCGCGTCGCTGGAGCAACCGCGCGCGGGGGGCCCTGCCATCGCGAGCTTCAAGCGCGATGGTTGTCCTTTGGCGTTGTCGCCCCCTTGACGGCGCTGAAGAGCAGCGCTGAAATGCCGATGCAACGTTGGCGGCTGGGCCGCGACATCGGGGCGTCGGCCAGACGCAAGCCGACGGCAAGGCGCCGCGCCCATACTGCACCGCCCAAGTTTGGTCTCGCCCGCGCCGCCCAATCGGGCGCTGGAATTATTCGGCGCGCCCCCGCGCGCGCGAGCTTGCGAGCCTCTGCGCAACGCGTGGCGAGCGCAGGCGGTGCCGCAACGACGATTGCGAGGGGGGGCATGCTCGCGCGCGGGGCCACCTTCGCCGCAACGGGTAGGGACTTACAATCTACATTCGCCGCGCCCTCGGTCTCGGCCGTTGGCATCCGCGGCTGGGTGGGGGGTGGGGGCGCGGCTTGCGCGCGCCCTCCGCGACCTCGGGGTTCGCCGCGGCAAGCAGTGGGCGGGGGCGCCGCGGGCCTGGTCGACTCGGCACCGCCGCAATAGCCTGGCCCATGGCGGCGGGCAACGTATCGGGCCCGACGCGGCGAGCCCAGCCGCGGCGCCAATGGCCCACCCGTCCAGGACATTCATGCTACATGGAAGCGCACCCGCACAGCGTAATTCCATGTGACGGTGTACGCGAGCAGCGCAGATCTTGCGGCGGGTGCGC